TTTTGGGGCTGCAGAGCGTAAAGGTTGAAAACCACTGAGCTGGAGTCATGTATCTTTATGTGATAATTTGACAGCTAAAAGGCTAACGCTATTCAGCTGTACCTTTATGAAAAAATGCCTGGGGAATTGAATAGCATATGATAAACTTTGTGTAGGCATTTTTGATCCCGTCTGTGAAACTGAATAACTGAAGGAATTCTATAGAAAATACTCTACAAATTCACAAAATAAAAAGAGAATGAAGCCCTTTTTATAAGGGTTCCAGCTGATCACATAGAATCGTGTTCCTGCAAAGCAGAATGCACTGATTCTGTACTCTTTTTGGAAATATTTAACCCTGACAAGTCACATAGACCTACAGGCTAATTTCTGTAGATCAGCATGGATCTGTAATACCTAGTATATGACTTACTGGTATATATTGGATTTAATTTAAAATGTGCATAATTTCTTACAGCATGAATAATCATATAGATGCTCCAAATTTTGCGTTTTCCCACCAGGATGATTTTCGATACAGGTTTGAAAATCAGATCTGTAGGGCAGCACAAATCCTTCATTGCAACAGCATAGAGTTCCCATGGTGGTGGCTGCTACAAGAACCTCCTGTAAATGTTTATATAAACTTTCACTACAATTAAGGAGATAGGGCAGCAGTTACCAAGCAAAATGATTCCCCTTAACACATGGTAACATTTTTTTTAGGAGAAGTGTTTTCTTTTTTTTTTCCCTTCATACATTGACTGAGTTTAACTCGATTTTGACAGTATTAGTTCACCTCTATTTGAACTGCTGGATAATTCATTTGCAGAAGAGGCAGTGCATTTAGGTACTTCCATCTGTGTTTAAATACGGCTCTTGTGTTTTCCCCATTAAAAAAAAAAAAAAGAATTATAATGGTTGCGGTACACAAGGTTCTGAATTTAACTCCTTCCTGCTTTAGTTTCTCTTAACCCTGTTATCAGCACCTGGGGTTTCTAGTTTACTCTCTCTTTACAAATATGAGTTTGCAGGAAGGGGTTGATGGTAAGTAGCGTGGTTCTAATTTGCACTTGCAAAGTGTGTCAGACGGTTTCATCTAGTGCATGGTGAGCAGAGGAAACACTGTCTTCCTTTGAAAGCAGCCCTTAGGATGTCGGAGAGCGTGYGTGGCTGTGACAGTCCCTTGCAAATGTGATAGGGTTTTGAAATGAGCTGTCCAGGAGCTGCTAGGGGAAGGGATGCCCRAACTCTCATGAATCCACTCTGTCGTCTTTTTCTTTCTCTTCTTTCTTCTTATTTTCATGTTCTAGGCCATCACTTTGGTGCACTTCTGGAAGAGTCTGCTTCACTGTGCTAGTAGATATTTGATGGGTTCTTTTGGATGAAACATTTGTGACAATCATCCATTTTCTTGGGACTTTACTCTGTGATATAGGTATCTCTTCTCAACTAGTTCATTAGCCAGTTCATTACTCCTTCTCCATCCACCTGGCATCTTTATAGCCTCATCTGTCCTTCCTATCCTCCTAGTGCTTTCTAAACATCTGTTTAAACATGATATCCAAGTTCCTTTTTCTCATCTGTCTTCTGTACATGTCTGTTCTTAGAGCTGGCATCTTAAACTATCCATAGCTCATGTGTGTTTATAAAATCATCCCTTAATCCAAGAGTAAGGTGATATTTGAATGCATGGCTGGGCATACAGAAGTTTGGATTRTGGCCATCTCCTTCTCCCAAGTGAAAGGGCAGGGGATTTATGGAGATAACTTCTCCTGCGCCTGTGCACAGAAGCTATGGCCAGGGCTCCTTTTAGTGTCCCCAGAAATCATCAGTGTCCCAGTGGCACTAGATGAATGTCCCGTTTCCCTGCTGCACCACGTTAACTAGCGTTAAAACCTCCTCCTGCCCCAGCCCTGGCCTTCATCACCCGCTTCCCCAGCACCCTCAGAGGACTCCAGAATGAGTCACCCCGGGTGCCTCTGGGGACTCCTACTGATGCAAACTTCCTCCTCCTCAAGGCACGCTGTGGTTTGAGTGCCACAGTGCAGCCCTCACTTGCTAGCTCAAGCTTTGGCTGGTGGCACAGCAAGGTCTCCAGCCCAGACTTCCCTTCCTAAATCTCCAGGATACTTCATCCTCTTTGGAGTGCTGAAGGTGGGAGCTACTCAGGGAATTTCAGAAGCGTGCCATTAGGTAGCAAGTTTTTGCAGGCAGAGGCTACTGTTTGTTCCTAAGGTGTATTCCGCTCCTTGCAGAGGCTGTCATCGGCACATTAAGTGTAATGTAGTGTTATCTGGCTGTTTGTGTGAAAGGTTAAACGCCCTGGTTCTTGTGGTGCTGCAAACGTCTATCGCAAGAGCTTTCCCCGCGGTCTGTCGTCATCTGCTTCCAGGGCCTGTGCTCAGAAACAGAAGATGTGATAATGAACAGGACTCATTTTCTAGTGTTTTGGTCTTTCCACACCGCTTCCCCTCCAGGCAGTTGTCATTTAAACATTATTTACCTTCTCCCTCTTCCCATGGAAAATAAAATAAAAGCTTTCCTGGTGGTAATTATGCAGTGCTGAGTTGCAGACCTTTCATCCCATTACAGTAAGTGGACAAAACAGCCATCATTTACAAGAGCAAAATAGGTGGGGAAATGTGAGGGTTTCTAGCACTCATGGGTGTAAATGCCAAGCTGACATGGAAGAARGATTCCCATGGCAAGCAAAGTTCCTTGCTTGTAAGGGGCGCTGGTGCACTTGTGCTCTGATGCAGGATCAGAGGAACGTCTGTTCCCTGTGGGGTACATCAGAAATACAGAAGTCAGCCCTGTTAATGGAGGGCTCCAGACTCTTAACCTGTCTCTATCCTTTAAGGATAACTTCAGCTCTTTCTTGTTCTTAATTTCTGAATCTCCTTGGTCTGCCTTTGTCTTGCCATGGATCTTTTTGGAAAGCTGAAATGCATTCAGATGTGTTTTTCCTCCATCAGAAGCTTGTTGCCTTGTTATTCCCCACCTCTGCCTGTGTGCCTTTTACAACTGCAGAAACTAATTGATGCTCTTTATTTGCCTTTTAACGTGTTCATTCATACTGCCTTGTCCTGGGACATTTGCCCTGGAGGTGTGATTGCAGGAACAAGTTCTTACCAGCGTATCAGCAAGAGGTTCTTTGCACATAGCACCAGAGTGAATCTACTAACTGCGCAGCAGTGTTTCCTTGCTCCTTTGGTAGACTTGTCTGAGGGCCATGGTTGGGTTGACTGACTTGCTCTTATGTCTCCTTCTGGATGTGCAGCAGTTGTCAATTGGAGGGGGTGGATCAGCCTTTCTGCCACTTTGGATGCTGAACTCAGTACCTTGGGAGGGCCAAGGAGATGYGTGGCTACAACCCCCCATTCCACAGCCTGCCTGGGTTAGTTTGGTAGCAATTTATTGCTGCCACCTGCTGACCAGGCAGAGGATTTCTCTGGCCTGTGCAGAGGTTGCACRCAGGCTGCCCTGACATGCCCTCTTTGCCTTCCTTGCTGTCCCGTGGTCCCAGCAAGAAGATGATGGAGCCAGAAGGTGGAGGTGAGGGCACTGAATAAAGCAGGAGCTCCTGGGATACGCACAAGACCAGTCACTCGAGGAAAGGAGGTACCTGCCTTAGGTTGCACGCAACCATCAGTAAGAGCTGGGCTCGTCTGACTTCAGGCGTCAGTGAACTCAGCTGTGATCGAGCCCAGTGCCAAAAGCATCTGTGAGACGTAACCTCCTCTGGCCATCATGTTAAGATACAGCAGCAAAGAGATGGGGTCAAATTGCATGTCTGCAGGTAATGCTTTTCTGCATAGGAAAGTATGAAATTCAGGTATGCCTTTAAGATAAAGGAATATTAAAAGAGGCRAGAGGTTATACCTGATTCTAAACTCCAGAAATTCCAGTTTGTTCCTCTGTGATTTGCCAAAAAAGACTTAATGGTGATCTTCAATGTTCTTCGGAAACTGGTTCAYACCACTGGCTGTTTCAGATGTTACTTAGCTAACAAAAATGTCCTTTCACACTAGAGTTTTTGGACATTAGAGTTAAATAAGTGGCAAGGAAGGCAAGTGCTTTATATGGAAGGGTGTAGGATCCCTTTTAGGATGGTGTCACAGTGTCATTAAACGCACATTAAGCATTTATTCGGCCCCCAAGGCCGGGAAGTGGCAGCGCTTGCTCTGAAGCCGCTGCTCGGCTCCCTGAGCGCTGCTGCTGCYGCCCGGGTGCTGGAGCCGGTTCCGTGGCCACGCGCAGGGACCGTGACTTCTGAGGCACTCGGGAATCTTGGCCTCCTTTCTGCCCTTTCGCAAGTGATGTGCAACATTTGCCTTTGTTGGGGTCAYTCCGGATTTTCTACCAGCAGCGCTTAAGAGCAGAGCCAGGCAAAGGGAAGCCTCTGTAATTTGTTTTGATTGAAGTTTATGCTTATGTCTTGGATACGAGTCATACTAGTCAGCAGGCCATTCCCCCCCATTTCTTTTTGGCCTCTTGTGCTTTTAAAGCGGCTTCCGTGTCGGAGGGGGCAGTACTGTATGAGCCCTCTAGGGACCCAGGGAATTTCACATCTCCATTTGAGACTCTAATCTCATTTTCCCTCTTTCAAAATGCTCTTGTTTTCACAGGGATCTTTCCGGACTTTGTGCATGGGTTTCCCTCTTAGCTATTCTCCAGTGAGTTCTCCCCTTCCCCCCCTTTTTTTTTCTTCATGTTTATCACTTTTCTATTTGTTTGTTTTAAGGCAAAGGAGAAAAAAATAATCCTAAGGAAAGATGAAATACCGTGCGTGGCAGTTCTGTTCGGCTGCAGTAGTGTTGTCCCTGTTCTGTCAGAGCAGGAAAAGGTTGCTATTACCATTTTATAATCTGGTCTCAGGTACATTCCTGCTTCCCTAAGCACTTTGAGTTGCTGTGCAGATGTTGCTATAAAATCCCGCTTCCATTTAACCCTGAGTTGCATGTTCTGACATAGGACTGGTTCCTACTCAAGGCCTCTCTCCTCTGCTTGCTCCCTAGGGCTCGGGGACCACGAGCAGCATCCCTGCCACCACTCCGTCAGTGTCAACGCCTGTCACCAGCCACAAGAGGATGACTATTCCCAACCAGCCTCCCCTCACCGCCACCAAGAAATCCACGGCCAAGGGCCCCGGGCAGCCGGCTCCCATCCCGGTGACTCCCATCGGCACCCTGAAGCCGCAGCCGGTTCCCGCCTCGTACACCACCGCTTCCACTCCCAGCCGCCCGGCCTTCAACGTGCAGGTGAAGACGGCCCAGCCCAGCCCTCACTACCAGCCGCCGGGGCCGCAGCCCGGCCCGTAYGGCGGCCCGGGGCCGAGCCAGGCGTACGGCACCGCGCGCCAGCCGCCCGCCGCGCCGCACTACGTCCCCGCGCAGCCCCGCGCGCCCGACTACGGCTACGGCGCACGGCCCGCGGAGCCCGGCTATGGCTACGCGCCCCCGGGCCGCTACCAGGAGCCCTACTAYGGGGGCTACGGCGGGAGGAACGGCTCGGAGCCACCCTACGGGCCCCAGAACACCTGGAAGCCCGAGGCAGCCTATGCCGCCGGCAACAGCATGGGCCAGCCTCCTCCTGCCCTCTACCAGCCGCCTGGCCCCAAGAAGACCTACATCACTGACCCCGTGTTGGCTCCGCAGCCACCTGCTCTGCACAAGGTAGGAGATGCAGATACTTGTGAGCTTGCCTGAGAGAAGCTAAGCGTTCATCTCTGTTAGCATAAAGTGGTCTGGGACCCTTGCTAAAACGTGGCAAGGGGGTGTACTGTGCCAGTGGGAGCAGTGCTGTGTGTGCCCCRGGCATCTGGAGCTGCCAGACGGCTGCAGCTCAGATGCAGAGGTCCATGCAGCTTTGCAAGGCTTGAGGAGACAGCATGGCTTGTGTGTGCACCAGCCATCTGTTCTGTGACACCTACTGAGATTTCTCCCTACAGTCACTAGTGAAGGATCGAGTGCTCGGAGCACAAGTATTCCACTTAAGAGCTGGTTTGGGTCATGGGGGCTCATGTTCTTGCCTCCCCTTCCTGGCACTTCCATGTCCCACACTTCTTCAAAGTCCATAATATAAATGTAAAGTTGAGTGCAAGCAGTATGAATGTGAGGCAAGTGCGGGCCTGGCTCTGAACATGGTACAGGCCAGCTCTCAGGAGGAAGGCCAAGATTTTGAAATGGAGTTAGTTGGCTTTTCCATTGTGTAAAGTTTGACTCGGGGAGCTGACGAGACTGTAAACCACATCTTCATTTCAAAACAAGAGAAAAGCTGTGAGGAATACAGACAATGGTTTTGCCCAGTGTTCTCTATCCACACACTTCTTAAAAGCTGAAAATAGGGAACTCTCATCTRACTTGAAAATAGAGTTTTTGGGGTCTTAGGAATCTCATCAGCCTCAAAAGGAGAGACCGTCTCGTTTGCAGAGACTTGGTGTTACTACTGGAATTCACGCTGCAGGGCAGGAGGAAGTTTACATCCCCGTGACAAGCAGTTACATGATAAGTTTGTTGACTATATATTTATATGGAATTATTACACTTCGATCTTTCCTTCCGGGTTCTCCCAAGATCAAAAAAGAGATTGCGTGTAAACTTCTGTATATGTTTATGGACCTTTTCTTGAGTCACCAGAAAAAATGTTCCTCTTATTCAGATCGGAGATACCGAGCACACTGTTTTTGATTGTGGTTCAAAGCAATTCCGGAGGTTGACCTCTTGTGTTTCACTGTTTAAAAATCACTTATCGCTTGAAACCACATGGAAATGAGTTCCCACACAGTTCTGTGGGCTGTTTGATTTTCCTCTCAAGTGACAATAAGGTGGTGTGGTGGGTGGTGTCCGTTCACTCAAACAGGTATCCAGACCTCCTCAGCTTAGGCTCTCCTTGTCCTGGGAAGTCCATCTAGTCTGCATGGCTGGGCATAAGGCACCATCCATCCCTTTGCTCACGGCCATCTCTAATGCACTTCGGGACAGTTCAGGGACTTGGTGGGATCCTTCTAGAGGACCGTGGCTGTTGCCAGGTCTGGCTTTGGCAGCAGTGGAGGTTGACGATGGCCAAGCCTGGGCGAGGAGGTGCCCATTGCTGCCCTGGGCTGCCTCGACACAGAGYTGCTCGCTAGCTCTTGGTGTTGACAGAGAGATGGTAAAAATTTCTGACACGTAACAAAAGGTCTCCCCTCTTGCTGTTTCCTTCACTAGAAGCATAGAGGCGGTTTTCCCTGAGTTCTAGATGTTCTGGGAGTGGGAAATGTCGACAACAAAGATATTCGGGATTTCTTTAGGCAGTATAGTAAAAGCAAATTAAAAAAAAAAAAAAAAAAAAAAGCCTTGAAATAATATCTGCTGGCAACATGAGCTAATAAACTGCTTTTTGGTTTTTTTTTCTTTTCTTTACCAAGGAGCTGGGAGAGGCCCAACAAACCCTCAGCTCCGCAGGTGCTTGGTATGACTTAGATTAGGAAGTAGTGAAAGCTGCAGAATTTGCACATAGCCTTAACTGGTGTAAATTGGTGCAGTTTAGAGGAGTGAGTGAGGAAATGTTGCTGTACACCAAGCAGATATTTAGACTTTTGTGAATGCAAGTGGAGTTATGTATAGATATAAAATTTAAAAACTTCAGTGCAGTCAGTATCTCTATGGAAACGCAAATCATCTTAAACCACAAACAGCACAAGCCTGTTGGTCTCATTTGCATTACAAAGCTGAAGGGATATAACAGTTTAGCTCAAGTTTAGGGTTTCATGTATGTATGCATGCATATGTGTGTTTGTGTGGTATTTGCAAGAACATATATAGAAGTACTTTATTTTTTTTTCAGTTTTCCTGCAAAGCTGACTCCTATCTGATAGATGTTAAATTCCTTCCGAGCTTACATTCTCTTCTAGCCTGCTAAATATTTAGCTTATTATCCCATCTCATCTTTGCGCTTATAATTTTCTGGAATATTAATGGCAGACTCTGTTTCTTGCTTCTCTGTAACAAATATAGTTCAACTGATGAAAAATTGAAGGTGATCTTAGAGACTACCAGGAAATGCCCATTAATGAAACATTAATGTTTTGATAGCAAAAAAAAAAAATAAAATAAATCACTGTTTGGTTTTCCTGTATGTTGTCCTCTTCCTTTGCAGGCTAACTCATTCATAAGAATCAACAGTTTTGAATGGTTTAATATAACTGAAAGAAAAAAGAATGTTGTGTTAGAACTGGGATCTTGTTGAGGAGATTTGTTGCTGTTATTTCATTTGTTGGCTACAACGTGAATTTTAACAGATTTTAAAGCACATGCCTGACTTTTGCATTTTATTGCATTTTGTCTTTTCAAGGTTGATTTGAGGCCTTTCTGTTTAGGAAAACGATTAAGAAGCCAGGCTAAGAAGCAAGCATTAATAAGTAGCTCTTAAAATAAAAGACCTTTAGGAATTTTTCTTCTTGCAAGGGAATGATGTTGGAATGTAAAATAATTTCCAAGCTTCATTCAGACAAGTGGATTGTTTGCTAATTTTAAATGCAGCTGGTGTGCAGAACGTTAAGGATGTACTAATGAATTAATTCCAGAGTAGAAACTCATGGCGCTTTTCCTAATACACACCATGGTCCATCACAGTAAGAATGGGTTGAAAATTTTCAGATTGTTCAGGATTTTTACGGGGTGAAAAATGGTTTATTATATTTCACATTCTAGTTAGGAAGAGGTTCATGGTGCCGTGGTTTTGTGTTTTGCGATCTACTAATCGTGCTGAAGTTGCTGCTGATCCAACATAAATCTGGATTGGTATGGGAACAGAAAATAAGCTGTACTGATTCTTAAAGCCCACCGAGAACAATGAGTTTTACTCACTCACAACTGTGTGTTGAATTCTGTCCCTAGGCCAGTTATGGAAGTGAAAGCCATGCGTGTGAAACCTCTGTATGAAACCTCTGTATGTATGCACTCCGTTTAGCATTAATGCCCAATCCTAGCTAAGAAATGAGTGAGCAGAGGTGCRTGTCCTTGTTTTAAACCCTCCTGTGCTTCAAGGGCATTCCTGGCCAAAAAGCTCAGTTGCTTCTCCTCTGTCTCGTAGGTAGTGGGGATCTCTGTAAGCAGCAGGGGAGCTGTCATGAGACCATCACAGAAACATGTGACGGGACCTGCTGCTCTCGTGCTTTTTGCCAGTCCTGCTGTGGCCTCTGTCTAAGCCAAAGTCTGAAATCTTCCTCTTAAATTCTGCCCTGCCAAAGGCCAGAGAGCACAAGACTAGAGTGACTCATTTAGGTATGGTAGGTATGGTGATTTTTGGCACCATCATGTCTGCATTAGAAAACTCAAATAGCATGGCCAGTTTCCAACACAGAGAATTCTAGCAATTCTGCCCTGTGGCCAAAACAGAATTCAAAAAAGTCCCACCACCACCCAACACCTAATGTTTCTGTACTAAACCAAGTGAGACACCAAATAATACCCTTGGCAAGTTCTTGTAGCTCTAAATCACAGCAAATCTTTTTCACAGAATCACAGAATGTTTAAGGTTGGAAGGGACCTCTAGAGATGATCTAGTCTAACCGCCGTGCTGCAGCAGGGGCAYCTAGAGCATGGGACACAGGGTGGCATCCAGGTGGGTTTGGAAGACCTCCAGAGAAGGAGACTCCACAACCTCCCTGGGCAGCCTGTTCCAGGGCTCTGTTACCCTCGGTTTCAGATGTGGACAACTTTTATTTTTTAACTAATTTAAACCCTTTGGTTCAGGAGTGCCATGAGAGAGCTATGTTTGGTTTTGGTAGTGGGTACTTTGAGTTTTTGGGATATGTTTTTATGCCCAGGTCTTATGAATACCATGGCTTTGGTGAAAGGCAGAAAATTCCGCAAAGTTTCAGGCAGCTCATGTTATTCTTGACTTGTTTGAAGGGTGGCCATTGTAGACACTCCGAGTTGTCCTGCCTAGACCTCAGATTCAGTGACTTCCCTTTCCTCTCTCTGAATCTATTCATGGGGCTGTAGGCCCACTTTCCCTCCCAAAGAGACCAGCATGTTTTTCTGCATGTGGACTGGGTGCAGCTGACATCACCGGAGACAAACTTGTGGTTTTGCTCCGCAGTAATGGAAATCTCGTGAAAAACATCACCTCTTGAGATCAATCTACCAGGTTGCGGCGGGGAAGAAAGCGTCTTGTAAAGCTGATTTAGGATAGCATCCAAATCTGTGTTCCTCCATCGCAGATCTGCTGGCAGGAGTAAGGGAGCAGCATCCCTGTGACAGCCGTGCCTGTTCAGTGCCGGCTTCCTCTCTCAGGTGGCACAAATGTGCCCGGGCCCCGACTGTGCTTAGCGTGCGCCGGCCACGATACCCCTTACCCCAAACTACACACATCGAGCCCTGCAAAGCACAGCTTCGGTGAGCGCCTTGGAAATCCAGTGTGGAGGCAGGTGGGAATGAATGAGGCCCCGCAGGCTTTGGGCCTGGTGGGGCTGATGGTGCCGCCCGCGCTGAGCGGCGCTCGCCGGCCGCGTCCTCCCCGCGCGGCTGCAGCGGCTGCCGGCACTGACGCAGGCTCCTGAAACCTGCAGGGCCCAAAAGGGGACCGTGACGACTTGCTGTTTTCTCATTTCAGACAGCTTTTGTCAGTTTTTCCACTGATTTAATACCTGCGATGGAGACGTTCGCTTGGAAGTTTCATCTTTGCCTGA